ATATTAATAACTATCTCATTTTTACATTCATTTGGTGTTTTGCCATTTTGGCAGGTCTTATGGCATCCAGTATTTTAGAGCTGCCTATTCTCAGTTCTTCTCTTAATTTGAAAATAACTGTCATTCTGTTTCATTTGATCAGATGAAGAAAAACGCGCTTTTCCTTACTCTTTGTGCTTTTCCCAGAAAGCGTTTTTAGTAGGCCTACTCGTAGAACTAGGTAATTATGCAAAACCCAGGCCTAACTAAAAAATTAAAATTGTCATAGTATGTAACTCAAGTTAAAATAACACTTTTCATTACTCGTGCAGCTTAATCAAATATTATATGTCATTTTAAACGACCCATTGGTATTAACATGGTAACATCAACGTATTTTTAAAAATTAGACAGCGACGTTCTCTCAGAAGTTGACCTCCTGAATTCTGCAATGAGATTTTCGGGTCGATTCAGCCGAGACGGCCCGAGTGGAGTTTCATGTAAATGTTTCGTACGGAAAAAAAATCGCGGCCAGGCATACCAGCATGATGCGCATGATTGCGAAGGGTTTTTAACCCACCACATTCATCGCACATGGGGGCGCTTGGGAGCGCATGATAGGAGTTGCCAGGCGTGGATTAGATGCCACTTTAAGAAACGTGAGCCCAAGTCAGTTGACCCCAGAAGTGCTAAGCACCTTAATGACGGAGATCGCTGCAATCATAAATTCTCGACCATTGTTACCGGATTGCCACACACCAGAGTTGCCATTAAATATGTCTCCAAATATGCTACTCACTATGAAGGTTTCACTAATAATGGCTCCTGAAGGGCCGTTTAATCAAAACGATCTTCTCCGAAGCCAATGGCGAAGAGTACATTTTCTTGTCGATCTTTTCTAGTCAAAGGTGCGCAAAGATTATTTACCTTTGCTACAATCTAAATCCAAGTGGCAGAAACCAAACCGTAATTTGAAAGAAGGAGATGTGGTGCTTGTGAAGCACATTTGAGAGCCCCAGAAATTGCTGGCCGCTTGGTCGCATCAAAGACGTAGAAAGCAGTACCGGTAGCGATGGTTATGTAAGGAAGGGAGTGGTTGAGGTTCTACAGAATGGGACAAGGAAAGCTATTTCACGACCGATATCTGAACTTGTGCTGTTAGTACCTAACGAATAACTCTTAGTTGTTTTAAGTATACTGTTACTTGAAGTTGAAAGTATATTTGATGAGGTCGTTAAAGACGTCAGGCGAGGAGTGTGTTGCGCATTCAGCTACTTTTAGTATTTTGTTAGCATTTTGCTTGCGGCAACGTGTGTAGCCAATTGGGTTATTTTTTTTAATGTTATCTCGCATTCTTGCGGAAATCTGTTGTTTTTCGAGGCACTGTTTTTTGGGAGGCGGTAGGTCTAGACCTGTGATAATTACACTGTTTAATCTTAGTTTAGTTCAGTTTTGTGTGTAATTGGGGAAATATATATACTTGTATAATCATAATGAACATGTGTCCAGTAGAAATATGAATACCAGTCAATAGCATTACAGTTAATAGTATACGTGGTGTAATTGATTGTAATATCACCGCGCTGTAGTTCGAAAGGTCTGAAAGTATATTGAAGTTTCCATCACATGTGAGATGGTTACGCTTGACTAGGCATGGATGTATAGTCATCGTCTGATATGCTATGTACACGGAAGCCGTGGCATATTGCTATGTTATATTGTTTTATGCATAAACCTTGATTTAAGTTAGGTTTAACATGTGTAATGGGGATTTCTTGTCTTAGGGGATATGGAATTCAAGGATAGCTGCTAAGGACTGTGTATTATGTCAGACAAGCCTGTAGAAGTCGACTAGTCTGTGAGTTCATATATTTCAACATGCAATATTAATCATATATTTAAATAGTAAATGATGAAATGTACACTTCGAGAATCAGTCATTATTTCATTATATTTCTTTGTTATTACAGTTTTTACCCGTTTGATTGGCATGATAATAAACATACGTACAACTTGAAACGTTGGTGACGTGTTTTATTGCTGAAGGGTTTAACACGCTGGATAGGGGGCGCCCCGTTTCCTCGAGGCCAGCACAGTAGATAAAGAAACAAGTTCATTTACAAGTCTAATGCTGTTTTTATATATTCTAGTGTTGTAATAGTGCTGCGGCTGTCGCCACCGCTTGCACCGCCACCGTTATTGTTTTTGGGTTTCGTGAGCTCAGGTATCGCCATTGCAATTGAAGGAATTTAAAGTCTGTTGAATTAAAAATGCATGTATTCAGATACATGTAGTTCAAGCAATTTTATTATAGGTGGTGTTATAGACCTCCATCTACAGTTACAATATTTCTGTCTCGGAAGCTCGGCGTCGGTTAGTCCTAATCATTTTAGCAGCTCTCGCGATTCAGTCTATGTATGTGAGGCCTTGTAGATGCATGCAAGTTTATATTCTTGAGTAATTATTGAATATTGCTTTTACCATAATTTTTTAAAGACCTTTAAGGAAGAAAAGCTTTTTAAATAAATAACAATTGCGAACCAACAATTTTGTTTATAATGCACGATAAAGAAATAAATGCACGACAGAGAATAAAATAAAACTGGATTATACTGATAGATGTAGACATTCCTTATTCGTCACTATATACTTTTAAAGTTGTTGACTTATATTTTGGATAAGCTAAATAGTTCCATCTGGTGTCTGGTTATAATTATGGACGTGAGCATTTTTTTCTTGTAAGTAAACCATGGAATAGAAGTAATGTTTGTAACATTTCGATCCGTTATTAACGGGTTTTCATCATACAATGACAATGACTAGTTTGTGGGCCGCCCTCTGTCAGTATTTTCAGAACTGAAAAGCTGATTGTAAATATTCGAAAGTTTGTGTGTACACAAACACAAACACAAACTTACACGACAGAAAACATATCCCCTGGCGGAGGTGATGATGATGACGGTGACAGTGGCGGTGACAATTGCTGCGGTGATGGCGATGATAATAGTAATAATGATGATAATATAAATAATTTTATACATGTGATCTCAAGCTAACGCAATAATGATTAGGTTCGCTTTTGTTATCCTGTTCAACTACCCGATGGATTGTATTTTGCCTTCTTGTTTTGACAATAAGAAGAAAATAATAATAATAATAATAATAATAATAATAATAATAATAGGCCTACTGTAGTAAGTGTTCTGGGTTCATTCATTCGTATTTTTAGATGCATTACTTTGTTTCTTGTGTTGTATGTAGTTATCATATTTTAATGCAACTCATGTTATTGGTATATTCTCTGGAGTATTGTTATTTCGATGTTTTTGTAAATCCAAATTTGTAAATTCCTTTTCTTTTTAATTCTGTTTGAACCCCCCCCCCCCCCCCCAACCTCCCCATCTTCGGGACCAAAAAAGTGTCCTCTTAATATGGGTGTCCCCTGAATAGGACACTAACCAAAAAATTGTCCCTTTAATATGGGTTTTTGGTATGTCTTCAAACAACAGTGGCATACATTCTTTATCGGCATGAATTAGAATCCTATGTGAAAGTACACACACACACAAAAAAAGAAAAAAGAAATCCCCATGCTAAGGGTAAAAATTGACGGGATTGGTTGATACGAATTAACTTGCAGAGGCATATACCGATGTTCACTCTAAGGATTCAGGGGAAAACATTTCGGTTTTTTGCTTAAAAGGTGTGAATGATTTTTTCTTATTTTAAGACTGCTATAGTTGTCGTGATACAAAGAAAAAAAAAATTAAAAGTGTCCCCTTAATGGGGGTTATCTGACCATTTGGCACACTAAGAAAGTGTCCCCTTAATAGGGGTTGGCTGTAGTGTTAAAATATATATTGCCGCTCGTTTCACGGAAAAGTGTCTCCCTAATATAGATGTCCCAAAGGAGGGGTTCTACTGTATATTCGTTGCATTTATTGCTTATTTTTTTCTTGATCTGGTTGAATTTCTTCTTCTTTTTTTTTACGTTTTTGGCAATTTTTTATAGGCCTATTTGTAATTTTTTAGATGTAAATTTTAACCATTTGTTGTAATTCAGTTTTAAACTGCAATGCATTTTGGAAAAAAATCTTCAGGTATGAGGGACAATGCATTTTACAGCTTCTTGTTTTTGTTTTAAATTTTGCATCTAGTGTATTTTAATAGGCAAAGCCTATAAACAAAACATTTAAAATATTTTATAATAGGCTGATACAAAAATAAATTACCAATTAAAAGCATTTACACATGAAGCACGCATGTAGGCCTAATAACTTACAAATAAAAATAATAAAAGTTACTCCATATCTAGAATTGGCTTTCATCCTGTTTGATACAAAAGCAGATAAAGAAATACGATTATTAATGACCTCTTCATGACCATTTCATTAAATTTTATTTCAGCTAACGCTATTGATTGCTACGTGTGTGCGAATTGCGAAAAACCGGAGAACAGCGAGAATTGCGGTATTGGAAATGACGCATGTTCACTCATAGTGGATAATGGAAGTAAGTCAGTGCCAACATCGGCAGTGGGTCAACTATGGTAGCCTTTTGATTTTTGGTTGATTGTTTAAAGTCATGACATAATCCAAAAACTCAATAGGAATGTCGTTTTAGCCAAAAAAATATTATCTGCATATCGTGGTTTTCATACCCCCCTGATTCAGTTGCGATATTTTTTAACAAGTACTGTAATTTGGGACGTACTGGGTGTAAACAGGTCAGGCTGTGTATAAAACATCATTTCAATCGAGTTTTCTGACGCAAAACAACTCTCGAAAGAATAATGATTATACTGATAAAAATGATGATAAAATGTACCGGTATTCAAACTTTTATTCATTATAGAAAATGTACAGCCTTTCTTGCATGTAGCATGTTCTGCGACTGAAGATCTAATTTGGGTGGATTCAGATTCTTTTCTCTCAGTGGCTCTCGTAAACTCTCTTCTTGCTCATTTTTGTTTTGTTTATGAGGAAAGAGGCGGATCCAGAATTTTTCAAGGGAGAGACAACAGTTTTAGAATAGATAAGCAATATGTATTGACATTTTAAAAATTTAGTGGCGAACGGGGGTGGGGGAGTGGGGAACGTGTCCCCCGTTCCCCACACTCACTGGATCCGCCCCGGTGAGGTTCTGTACTCGTTCTGGGAAGGTGGAGATTATCCGGATAATCTTAAATCCGGGATTATTTGTAGTTTATTTATGTAATATTTATAATACAGTGTAGGTCTAATAACAAATACAGTAACAATGCTTATATTGTTTATGTGGTTATTTTCCATTTTTTGCAGAAAAATACCGGGCCTGTTGCACTTCAGTGGCCGAATTCCTGAAAGAAACTACTGAATCACAACGGTGCGACGCAGACAATCAGGACAACTGCATTACATGCTGCGATGATAAAGATAACTGCAACCTCGGCTGGTATCGCTAGCATCAATGTCTTCACCATAGTCACAGTTATGCTTCTCAGTTTCTTCGTCATGAAGCAATAGTAGGCCTATGTAACGTCTACGTAATAGTGTGTATGTCTGTAAAGTAGAGTAGTAGTAGTAGTAATAGTTTAGGATAAATTTATTAGGCTAGTCTTTTGAGTAGGGCTTAAGGTTGTAAGAATCAACAAGTGTATTGTCAATGATCAAACAATATCACATTTTATTGAAATAATATTTTAAAAATGCGTAACTATATGCCACTCTTATTATGGTATCATTTCTTCGAAAATATGTTTCTTGCTGATTTTGATCAATGTTTTTATCGATTAATATTATAAATGATCTAGAAGAACTTGTTTTGCATAACGTCGTTCGTTTTATTACGCTTTCTAGTCAAAACGGCAATAAACGAAAACGGCAACAATTTTTTACCAAAATGGCAATAGATCAAAACGGCAATAAGTCAAATCGGCAATAAACCAAATCAGCAATAAACCAAAACGAAACTAATATAAAAACATTACAACTCAAATAAGATTAACCTACCATTGTGAAATTCAATACCGGTAATAAAAAGATTGGGGGAAACAATATTATAAGCAGTAAACATTGAAATGTTTTTTTTTTTTTTTTTAAATGACGATAACGATGACGATGATGAAGATTGGGAGAAAACACAATATAAAAGCAGAATACATTCAAATTAATAAAACTTTAATACAAACAAAATGAGGCATCTAAACAATTTGTCATGAATGTGTAAAAAAAAATAAAAAAATAAAAAACGCGATTTAACATTAAAAGCGAGAAAAGAGTCCATGACCAGAGCCAGATTAACATAGGGATTATTGGGGCGCCAGTTCGGTGCCCACAGTCCCCAATGTTGAAAAGTACGGTAGGCCCCCCCGAACCCCAGGAAAATCACAGAAAATTTGGTTTTATGCTTTATGCCACAGAGAATTTTTAAGCCCAGGCAATTACAGCCCCAGGCCCCACAACCTTTTAATCCGGCCCTGCCCATAGCAATATTCAATTCCTGCATACGATCGGGCCATATATCTCAAGATGATTCGATTTGTTCAATGTCTATTGCCGTTTTGGTACTTGTCATTGCTGTTTCGTTCTGTTGCCGTTTTGGTAGGCCTGCTAATGATTGCCGTTTTGGCTCATTTCCCGTTTTGGTTATTGCCGTTTTGGTTTATTGCCGTTTTGACCTGCTACCAGGAAATGGGGTCTAATTATGATTGAAGTCTGATTATGATTTCAGTCTAAATTGTTTAGCCGAATCCAAAGGAAGAGTGAAACTTTAGGTGATTATTTTGCAGATAACCATACACACAGTCTAATGATTGGAGGCGCGCACATAAATACAATATTTTGTGAATATATCTTAAGGCAAGTAATAGAAAACTAAATCGGCATTATACCAAGAAGGGATATGTTAAGGAGTATTACTACTACTGTATTTTTACAAATAGACATATTGTTCACTGTACTTTGAGGTGATGTGCAAGGCTTGTTAGAAAATCGTAGTAGCCCCTTATTTTGTAAGAGGAAACAGAAGCTAACGATAAAGCTGATTCGCTATACAAGAAGAAGCCGATCTGCATACTTTATGCAGATCGACTATATCAATGCTACGCTGAATGCTTGGGTTTATTGCTCGTTCCGACTGTTCAGTGTACATTGTGGTAAAGGCAATGTTAGAACATGTCGTTGTGTAATAAATGTAGCTTGCAAGCACAGTTGTTTGTTTGTTATTGGTATTTCCTTCCAATGTCTACAAGTTTACAAGGGCCGAATGATAATAATATCATATCAGACGCCCAACACGGTTTCAGGAAAAGAAGATCACGTGAAACAGACCTTAGCAATATTAATTCTTAGAAAAGTTCTTATGAGCGTATTCTACTAATTGGTACCGTATTTAACGAAAACTCACAATTGGTTAAGTATCATCAAGAACACAAAAAGTAGTTTTAGGAGGAGGAGGTTCAGACCTGATACATGTTTCTTCAGGTGTTGCCATTAAACTAGGGCCCCTCATGCTCGTCATCTACCAACGACGGGTGATGATCTGCACTCACAAATACGACTGTTTCCTTTTAAGATGATTGCATTATTCACTAACACGAATACATCATTATGATTTATCCGACGAAATTTACACCAGCTTCCCTTAAAAGAGTTTTCACTGGTCAGGCATTTACTCGAGTAGGCCTACTTTTACTTACTCGAGACATTTTCCTAGTAGCATTATAACATTTAAAAAAATTATAATAATACTAAACAGATAATTTAAATATTTACTAAACATATCAACCCTAAAAACCAAATGTTCACTTTTAAAATTTATAAAAATAATTGTATCACTTAAAAGAACAATTATCTGGGCATTAAAGCTGTTATTTTTTCGTGATAATATGGCAATTCTTTGAGTATCATGTGACCAAATTTAAGAAAGTACATAGTACAAGTGGCGGACGGAAATCCCAATAGGCCTATTTGCTAATATTTTCAGTCAGAATAATTTTTAAGATTTTAAATTTGGTTTGTTTTTTAGTTAGCAATCAATTGTACAAATTGAGGTAAAAAAATGTTTTAGACGCATTTCTTAATTATTAATATTGAATCGTTTTTATTGGTCAAATTCTGTCGCGCCACCAGTTGAAATAAATTTAATTATTTTTAGACACTTTATTATGATCTGATTTTCATCACATTTTGCTATTATGTGATTTTATATGTGTGATTTATGATTCAGCTTTAAACCCATTTTAATATTTCCGTCCCGCCACTTTTTAAAATTCCGTCCCACCACCCTTATGAAGTATAATTTGTTTTTAAAAGTGTTTGCATCGATTCCATTTCTATAATTTTCAGCAATATTATGATTTCAAAAGTGTAATTTTATGATTTTGGCTTAAAAAATGTTATGGAAAATTTTAAACAATTTTAAACCAAAATAATTATTTAATTCCGTCCCGCCACCTTTTGGAATTCCGTCCCGCCACCATAAGAACAATGAAAGCTACATTATCTTAAATAATGTATAACTATTAATGTGATTCCCTAACTGTTGTTGTGATGCCATCATTATAGAGCCCTTTAGTACTATAAAATTTATGCCAAAAATGTGCAGGGGGTATGAATGATATCTTGAAGACAAGCTTACAGTAAATAATGTTCTATACTTATAATAATGACTAGACCCATCAGTGTATTTTTCCAAACCTTTCATGTCTTTACCTTCTTAAAATGGTCCATAAACATATGGCATGAATGTAGGCATCAGCAATGTTAATATTCTTTTAAATTTTACAGATAAACTTTAATTGTTTTAAGGAAAGCATCGAATTTGGGGTAATTTTAAAAATTTCCGTCCCGCCACTTTCCGTCCCGCTTCCCTGACTGTTTTATTTAATATTATTTTATTCTGCTGAACGAAACATTTGAATTTATTAATATTTCCTATGGGGATAAAGCATTAGTTGCTACTCAAAAGTATGTAGTTAAATTTACAGTACAAGTTTAAAGTTTGAATTAATTATGAAGATAACCTGTTATCTCACTTTTATCTAATTTGTTCATTCCGTCCCGCCACCAAAATGTTTTTCGTTGCCATGGTGATTTGATCAAGTACTCGGAGTTTTCTGTTTTACGTCAAATTAAAGTAGTTATCAGTACCTGGCCAGAGATCATAAGACAAGTTTCATAAACTAGACAGTTATAGAACTAAATCTAAATAAATGTCGAATCTTCCATGCCAGTGGCGGGTGAGGGGGGTTAGATCACACCCAGTTACATCTACCCATGTACACAATTTTTCCTATTGAGGTGTGTGTTTTTATGCAATTATCATTTGTTTTTCTTCCATAATTTATGTTTTGGGCTACCAAATTGAGCAGGAGATACAAAAACAAATTCAAAGACCTAAAATGGGAAACACTATACAACAGAGAAGACAAATAACAGACAGTATATAATAATAATAATAATAATAATAATAATAATAATAATAATAACGACAACAACAACAACAATAATAATAATAATAATAATAATAATAATAATAATAATAATAATAATAATAATAATAATAATAATAAGCCTCTGATGTAAGGCATAAGTACTCTAATCTGTGTAGTACCTATACCTTACATCAGAGGCTTATCAGAAAACTCACAAATATACACAAAGAACACGGTGTACTATCATACCACAAACCATCTAATACCATCAGATCTTTTTAGTACACCTTAAAGATGGAGCAATTTATAAAATCTGTTGCCCCGAATGCCCCGCCACGTACGTTGATGAGACAACAAGAGCAATTGGCACAAGATACAAAGAACACACAAGACAATCTGGATTAATCACAACAGTTGGAGAACACATCAAATCAACAAAACACGTCATACAAATGGAAAATATTGAAGTAGTGTGCCTTGAGGGACAATACTTGAAAAGAAAAATAAGGGAAAGCATTGAGATTCACACCCAGAAGCCCACCCTGAACAGGGACACAGGATATGACCTACTAGCCATCTTCAGTGACCTGCTGCTACGTGACTGTTTAACCATAGAACGGTCACAGAACCAGTAAGGTAGTTCCCTGAATCAAGGGCGTCGATCCGAGGTTGAAAGTGGGGGGGGGGGGGGGGGCGAGATAAAAAAAAAAGCCTTGGGCCGTAGGCCCAAGCAATGGTTGGGGATAGGGGGCTAAGCCCCGGAAGCTTTGGCGCATATAGCCTTTTAATTTATTTTAAGCAATGCAACTAACATCTATTTCCATACGAAATTTTCAAAATATCCAGTGGCGGATCCAGTACAGTAATTTGAAATAGAGCTGGGCCCAGAGAGGGACTTTTACAGATGGAGAGTGTAGCTGGACTACCACCTCAGCCCACCATGTTTGGGGCTGAGGAAAGAAAATTTATGATTATAACACCTCTAGATTGCCGGAAATGGCACTCTCAGACCTAAATTCTAATTATAATTTTTTTTTTTTTTTTTCCATTTTTAAAAAATAATTTTGAAAAAATTAGGGTCGGCTCGGCCCCACTTGAATCTGCCACTGATTATTATAGCGTCATTGCGAGACTGCGTCAACCCATTGCGAGACTGCGTCAACGTAACACTGGAGTTTGTAAACTTTTGGTAGGCTTATCACTTAATCGAAATAGGTAGACATATCCGTGTTAAAGGCTGAAATTAGAAAAAAAAAAACAGTAATCCTATGTATGTAGATAATATTAAACACTAGTATAAACGTACGGGTCATAATAATATACAAAAAGAATAAATCGTTTATAGTAGAAATTGTGCACTTTTGAGATTGTAAAAATATTGGCTATTGGATATAAGGATACATGCTTCCAATTTTAACAACGTTCAGTACATTGTTTTCATAATACATTTAGCCTCTGATAGTCGTTGCATCCATAAAATCGATCTAGTGGGTTTCTGAGATGGTTACGAAATGTTTAAACAATGGCGTTTTTACTCGGTTTTTGGTCCGGAAAATACGTACCGCACTTAGAAAAGTGAACAGACAAAATTCATGAGTCATGCGTATGTTATTCTTTCCATTCGCTTTTAAAAGTGGGGTTTTAATTATAAGATTGGTGAAATGTGGGGGGGGGGGGGACAATCGATATGATGTCCCCCCCACTTTTCAAAGGGGGGACGCGACCCCTGTCCCCCACCGATCGACGCCCATGCCCTGAATGATGCTGTTGTGACAACAGCGAAAGCTCGGACTCAGACAAATGAAGACTCTGAAAGGTAACATTTTCACTATCAATAATAATAATAATAATGATAATAATAATAATAATAATAATGATGATGATGATGATGATGATGATGATAATAATAATGATGATAATAATAATAATTAAAATAAATGTTAAAATAAGGATCTTAAAGAAAAGTTGACTGACCGGTAGCCAATGTAGTGCCTTTACACGCGGCGAATATGGTGGTGTAGAGTACAAAGTCGGGCCGCAAACATTTGCATTTTTTGCAACCGTAGAGAGAAGAAGAGAGCGAACAAAAAAGGACAGAATTGCAATAATCAAGTTTACAAGAAATAAAAGCTTGAACAAGTTCAGTGGATTTGGGGCAAAGGAATTTTTGAATTTTGCGAATATTACGAAGATACTAATTGGCTGATTTGCAAATAGAATTAATGTGTTGGTCAAAATTAAGGTACAGATATTACCTTAATTTCAGAGATAGGCCTATATATTTCTAAAATTTGCAAAAGGCGGATTGAGATTCAATTAATGGGTTAAAGGGAACATAAATCTGAATATCGTCGGCGTACATATGGACCTGAACTTGATTAGAACGTATAATATTGGCAACTGGGGAAATATACATTGAAAATTGAAGTGGACCAAGGACAGAGCCTTGTGGCCACAGTTCAAAGCAGCAGTGGCAGAAGATAAGCTGTGAACAGTAACATGTTGTGATCGGGAAAAAAATAAGAGGAGAACCATTTAAGCACATTGCCAGAAAAACCAAAGTGATTCGATAATCGATTAAGAACTGAATGATCAATAGTATCGAAAGCTGCAGATAAATCTAAAGCTGGTTTTCCACTAGGCGAATTTATTCGCGTGAATCAAAGCGTTGGTTCGCTTCTAAAGCTCTGATTGGTTGCACATTTTTTCCCTTCGCAAAAACTCCGATAGGAAAGTGAATGCGCATGTGTATGAACCGACGCTTTCGATTCGCGCGAATAAATTCGCCTAGTAGAAAACCGGCTTAAGAGGACCAAGACTACAGCCTCATTGTCATCAACGAACATAAATGAAATTAACCAGCTTGTTGTAAGGGCAGGCAGTCGATGTGGTGTGACCAGTTTTATATGATTTTATAGGTTTCAGAGAGATTATTATTAATAAGGAAATTAGAAAACTGAGAAGCAACACAATTTTCCACGAAGAAAAGATAAATTAGAAATGGGTCGGTAGTTTGAAATAAAAAGTCATTTCAATTCAATTTAGGTTTTTTAATGAATGGTTAGATGGAAGCAACTTTGAAGGACTTAGGAAATATACCATTGGATAAAGATCTGACGGACCTCACATATGCCTAGCTCCACTATGAACGAATCAGATGGACAAGACAGCACTAATGACATCCTATTAAATTTGCACGTTTCAAGACCTGGTAAGTTAAAACCTATAGCGTCTTTCCACCAGCGACATAAACACATAGAACGATCTACTTCATCAATCACCACAAACAGCCGCTATTGAGCATCAAAAACTAATCCAATTGAATAAATTAAAGTTCGGTACTATAAAAGGAAAAGAAAGAAACAAATAGGAAAGAGGAATGAAAGAAAAGGAAACAAATGGATATACAAGAAAACAGGAGATGGAAGAAAGGTACTAAATAGGCCTATATTTCTCTTTCCTTTTCTACGAAAGGCAAGAAAAGGAACGAATTTAAAAAAGTAATGAAAGAAAAGAAGATAACACGAGATAAAAGACTAGATTTTTCCTGATGTTGGAATTACAAAATATATATATTTTTTAATCATTAAAAAGGATATATAAAAAACAAATACTAAAGAAAATTGGCTACAGTGGTATTAACGAGGGTGATGTTGCTCTTACCATTGGGTTAAAGAACCAAGCCATGCGCAGGTTAGTACATTTTTAGTTTGTCTACCTTGCGTAAAGTTATAGGTCGAGGGAAATAATTGTTCACGCATTTCAATGTAATTTTGTGTTCAACATAGCTGTAGCAAGAGACGAGTACAGTTCTGGCTCGTGGGCATTTTAAAGAACCCATTCTATGGTTCATTCTAGCCCCTGTCGTGGAATGATTCATGATAACATGCTGCTCTAGTCTCTCAAACTATGTTCAGGGTGTTCACTATTGGATGTCCTCTGATATGCTGTGCCTTAAAAATGACAAGACAGAGTTCTTCATTGCGGCAAGTTGTGCTCATTTGAGTAAATGGTCTAACGTTGATCTTGGTAATAATATTTCAATTAGACCATCTCAAAACGTAAGAAATCTTGGCATCATCTTTGACAACAGACTGACACTACTGTCAGCTCATGTTTCTTCTCAATATTTCTCTTTGGATTGTGTTTACCTGTGTGTGTGTAAGTTTAGGTCTATAGTACTGTATTGTACAGAAAAGTAAGTCTGTATTGCTGTATCTGCTTTGTATTTATGGATTTTTAATTTTTTTTAAATTTTTTTATTATTAAGTTATGATAAGGGGCTTTCAAATTTTGTGCTTTTGCTTTTTGTATTAATTTTAATGCAACTTCTTTTTTGTAATTATGTTGGTCTTGACGAGTGCCACTGTAACAAAAGTGTAAGTTCAATAAATTATTAATATTACTGTTTCTGACCGTCTCAAATTCAAAATTCTTCTCATTACCTTTAAATGTCTACATGCCTTAGCTCCGTCTTATCTCCAAGACATTATTTCTATTTATGAGAATAGTCGTTGTCTGATGATCAGTTTATACTCAAAGTGCCAAAACAAATCTGGCTAATTCCACTTCTCACAAGGCTTTCTATGCTGCTGCACCATCCTTATGGAACATCATTTTATTTCTTTATATTTCGTAAGTAATGGCCTCTGGACCATTTTACAAATCATATGTTTATACCATATTCGGACATACAAAATATTCTTTTTATTTAAATGCTTTCTTTAAATAAATTGACAGACGATGTACGGTATTTTATGAAAATCATAATTTACAAAAATATCACCGAGTGAAATAAGTTTAAGTTAATAATGTATTTCTTTCTCAGGCCTCTATAAAAAGGACACACAAACAGAAAATGGGTTTCGTCTTCTGTAACACAATTATCACAAAATAAACATATTCTATTTTCTCTAGTAATATTCATATGACGACCTCTTTCTATTATTAAATTATGGTTTGACAGAAGGATTCTTGAAACTGTTTTTCTTAGTTTAAAATTTAAATGAAAAATATATTTAAGGGAATTTGGTATGTTTAGTGAGCTATAAAATGTTAATCTTGTGTTATTTTTTATTATTTTATTTCCTGTTTGCAGTGCAATGTCACGAACTCTCTCTGAAAAAATTGCTAAGAAATTCTCATTTACAGGCGAGTCGCACATACAGTATACCCAAATCCAAACATATTTAAAATCGATTTTATTCCAAATGCCCAACAGTCGGTTCCGTTTTCAGTCCACAATCTTTGCCTTTGATAACATATTTTTGGTAAGCTAGAATTTTCCATAATTATTAATTTATATCCAGTAACTTATCATTTTAATAACGTAATAAAATTTAACGAACTACCTTGTGAAGTTCGTCATTCTCCAACCTTGAAACAGTTCAAAACTGCTCTCAAAACTCACCTTTTTCAATTATCTCTTCTCTATAATAGACCATCTGAGTAAGAGCGCTTTATAAATATTCAAATTATTATATATGATGATAGGTTAAGGGGAGTGCGTGAACTCGCAAATAAGGTGATTTGAGCAGGGAACAATTTAACTGCTCCCTGATTAGAGCGCGACTTTTTTTGTGGGGGGGGGGGTCCTATTTACGCCACTGAATGCTTGACGAATACAGCAATATACAACAACATTAAGTGGCCCTAATGAATTTTTCTGGTTGTCCTCCCAGCTTTACTGTCGGCACATCCTTCGAAATGGGCGGTCGCGTGGCTATAGTGGTTGTTCATCGTGGAGAATGAGGACAAGTCTGCTTACTGATGGAAACTAGAGAAAATGATAGTATAGTACTTTAAATCCTTAACATTTAAAAACAAAACAACACACGTTTCTGTAGAATAATGCTTTATTATTTTAAAAAATTGGACTACTGTATTATTGGTGATGACGTCATCGATTTAACAAGTCGTTCGTAAAACAGACGTTTACTGTAATGTAATGCAGGTCGATTTTATATAGCGCTTATACCGATCTCTCAAAGCGCTCAAAGTGTGGGCTAGCATATACAATAACTTGCTGCTCCCTTAAGGGTCTCTTCATGTCTGAGCTACCCAGTAAACCGGTACCAGCTATCTCTCATATTCTGTCCACAACCAGCCAGTGTGATAACCACTGCTAATAATTTCTGACAACGAGTTTTAAGTTTTGGTTGTTTTAACTGTGTATCAATCAAATTATATATAATTGTATTTTAGGACACATAGAAAAAGTTATTAGATTATCACTGGTTTAATTTTATTGTTTTTTAAAGAAAAAAGAAAAACTAACAATTTTTTTCTATGTGCCCTTACATAAATTAACAATAAAGTAACTCTCATAATACTGTACAGTACGGTATTTGATTTCTAATACAATAGGTGCAAAGATGCTAATTACTACTACTATGGTAATTTATGCCCACTTTACATTTCTTATATAAAGGTGCTATTGTTTATATGCTCATTTACTTTATCAAGTGGACTCCACCCCTTACAAAGACTGTGTCATGCCTAAGGGGAGCCTACCCATATTATTATCCTGTTTTATGGTTCTAACTAGGGTTTGTTCAGTATTTATTCATGGTCGTTTGACATTTTCTCTGCCATCTTTATTATTTGTTGAAACTAACTTTTAAAATTGGTCTTTATTAGTGGTTTGTACTACATGCTACAAAAATATGACTACATATATTAATCGTAGAGCCACCAATGCCTGTACATTTTTCATTGAGTAAACTGTATATTCATTACTCAGATTAACTTATGCTAAAAGCAATGAACACTTGTAAATGAGTTGTAAATTGTGTATTGTTTTGTTAGAACATTTTCACAGCAAGGCAAACCATACTACTAACTGCTGTACTATGAACACTGTCAGGCTGCAAGAGGACTAATGTACAAGCCTGGTCTCATCATAACATGATTCCCTATTAAACTCAATTTAAAGTCATTCAAACAGAGAATGATACTATAAACATAATATATAACAAAAATTAAATTTACCTTTTATCAATTATTCTCAAAATTATTTACAGCTTAACATGTCTATTTTGGAGTGGAGGGCAGGTGTATCTCCATACCAAAGTTACTATCATGTGATTTTTATAATTCATTGCGTATTAAGCAATACCTTGAGATTAAAGGTGTCCTAATGGGAAAATCCAAGTCTGTACACCACTTGGACTCATAGCTCAGTTGGTGCAGTATCGGAATGGTAATCGGAAGGCCCTGGGTTCGAAACCCGATAGGGACATAAATTTTTCTCAAACATTTATCATTATCACCAATGGAGGTGTATCACTATACCAAAGTAATCATATGTCTATATAAGAATTCATAAATTCATGCTGCCAGAAATTAAGGGAATGCAAATAATATAAACATGTTATTATTTCAACCTTTGTTATGAATTGGTGAAAACAGTATGTGTTTTTGTTCTAATTTTTATTTAAATGCTAAACATGAAATATACAAGAGAAGCAACTTTTTACATTATTTAGTTTAAATACTATTTTCAATTTGTTTTTTTTTTGTGTCTGGATTTGGATTTAACCAATTTAAAAATAACTTGGGGAAAAGAAAAAAAGTTATATATATATATATTTTTAATACAATTTTAATCAGTACTGTATGAAATTTAGATATACTGTATCAGACTTACATTTATCCCAAGAATAATCTAATTATTTTTTAACAGTGATGTTTTATTTCTTTGGGTTTTGAAATTGGTTCATACATATTATTTATACTTAGAGTTTTATTTTATAATTCAAGTGTTCAATTTGTTTGAGGATGAAAGAGTTTAAGTATTTAAAATACTGTATTAAATATATTTTAACCAATACAAAAATAACTTGGGGAAAAGAAAAAAGGTTCAATGTATTTTCAATACAATTTTAATCAGTACTGTATGAAATTTAGATATACCAGTACATTTATCCCAAGAATAATCTAATTATTTTTTAACAGTGATGTTTATTTCCTTGGGTTTTGAAATTGGTTCCTACATATTATTTATACTTAGAGTTTTATTTTATAATTCAAGTGTTCAATTTGTTTGAGGATGAAAGAGTTTAAGTATTTAAAATATTAAATATATTTTAACCAATTCAAAAATAACTTGGGGAAAAGAAAAAAGGTTTCTACATATTATTTATATCCAAAAATATTGCTAGTTCTCCATACGTAATTTTGAATAAGCACAGGTATCTATAGTGTTGTTTACGGTGTTGAGTGTTTTTCCAATTAATGATAATTTACAAAGAGCTTGTATAAAATTAACATTACAAAAAAAGTAGTAACATTCCCAAAGGTTTGCTTAAATTGCATTTGTTAACATTCCAAATCTCACATTATAAATTCACCTTTACATTGCAGTACTTCTATTCTATACAAGCAAGCATACATTTTACAATGGAAAACAATCAATTTGATATATAATCTCCTGGTACTGTATATCTATTGAAGTAAAGTATATAAACACTAAAATAAAGATGGTACCATGCTATTTTTGCACGTTACAAATTAGGGTCAGCAGATAGGTCTATTAGGGAGCTTTTGATTGGGCAACAATGGCATCCTAAAACAAACAGAATTCAGACAAGACCAACCATAGTTGTGTAGAATTAAAGAACAAGAAGCTGCAGCATCAAATATCATAATGGTTTACTGCAATGGCAGATTCAATTTTTTAAACTCATAAAAAAATGGACAAAAAAAAAGTCCCTCCCTCCACCTTAAATTTTTCAAAGTTATAAAAAAGTGAGAATAAAAGAAAGTTTTATTTTCCAAAAGTCTGAGAATGCCATTTCTGGCCATCTAGACTAAAGTACTATAATCATAAATTTTCTTACCTCAGCCCCAACTAATGTGGCCATGAAGTGGTGTACACCCTCTACATGTGAATGTTCCTCCCCAGGCCTCCTCTACTGTACAGTAGTTTAAATTCCTGTATCCGCCACTGTACTGTTATCTCAAATCAAAAAGCTCCCTAATTACCCATGTTGAAATATCAACTAAAATAAATTGACATACAAGTGCCAACTATTGACTATTATCTTTAAAATGTAAATATTTAAAAAAAAATTATCAATTATAATGTTGAATTATATTCAAAATACTGTTTACAATTAATGTTAATTTAAAATTTTTCTTCATGTCTTGAATTTATTTTATAAAATTGCATCCAAATTCCCATATGTGCTTGGTTACTGTACAGTACACAAATATTATACCTTGATATAATTCGCCTCAGAAGTGAATAATTAAAAAAATTATATTGGATTCAATTAAATCATCTTCAACTTTACTACTAATTCTAACACCAGTACATTCTGAAATAATTTTACACCTTTCATTTGTTTTTCTAGTCTACATCATCGAAATTGATGTCACTGGAATTTAGTTTTGAAAGTTTTGGTGGTTTTGCGTAATCATCTTTGCAGTATGGGTAGTGCTTGATGGATTTATCAAAAGGTGCAGTACTGTTTTTCCTCCATGGGTAATCATATAACCTCAACTTCTTTTTACTCCAGTCACTTTCCGGTTTGCATTCATTCTCATCATACATTTTATCCGAGCTTGTGTCTTGATCCATTTCCTCATCTGATGACTCCACACCTGGAAATTCCCCATTCCCAAGTGCCTTCATAAATTTGTGAAATTTATTTATTCGTTTTTCACGAGAATCGCTGAACTCGGGCATTTTGATTGCTTGTGGTTTGCTGGTTTCAACTTGTTCTTTATCCTTTGAATCACCCAGTTTGTCTACTACGGACTTATTGAGAAGTTCTGCCAATATCTTGGTACCGTCATCAATTGGAGGTTGGAATCTGGAGGCACTTTGAGGTGGTGGTGGGACAACTGGAACATAGACTTCCCAGTCCATATCTTCTGTTTGGAATGTTGATATTCTTACAGTTTTATCAGGGGAGAGACGTGATGGCAGAGCATTGTTGGCCAGCTTAATTTTAAGCTGTTCAATCTCTTCTAATGACAATGTCTTTTTGCAGCACTTCTGCACAGGGGGTTTGGACGATGCAGCTTCAAGTCTTTTTGTGTCCTCTTTACCTTTCAGTGGTAAGCCCTTTGCCTTTCTTGTCCAATACAACAGACTATCTTCATATGGATATCGTTTCACCAGACCATTTGTTGTTATTTTGAAGTAGGTGATTCCAGACTGAACATCTTCCAAACTATGCTGGTTATGGCCATCTCTGAGGCACTTCTTGCAGACCAACACTTTGCATGAATCACAGAAGTTGGTCGCTAAGTCATCGTGATCTACACACTCAGGCCTCTTCTGTCCTATCATTTTTTTGTATTTTAATAACCGCATCACATCGTGGCCATCTTTCCCATTCATCTTATGACAAACAATTGAGCAAAGTTCACACAAATAGGCACTACAATCGAGACAGTAGTCATCTGGTATGAGTGAACAGATTTTGCAAGCCGCAGTATCGATCTCCTGTGCTGCTATAGCAATGGTCAGGTAATGATGTATAAAGCTGTTCTTTGGGAGGAGAGCAAGATCTGCACCTGGGCACTCAAAATCCTGTTTACACAGAGGACAAACCTTTCCATAATCGCAGACACACAAGATCAAGCACTTGTCACAGAATGTGTGTAGACACGGTAGTGTTACTGGTTCGCTGATAATTTCGGAACAAACTTGACAGATCATAAAGGTTTCATCCACACCAGTGAGTTCCTTTAATGAACATTCGATGACTTCTCCAGACAGTCTTTGTTTGCCCATCTGGAATTTATCAGGTACCTGAAATTAAATGAAGATTCAGTTAATGTAACATTTCAAGATGGGTTTTCATGATCGGCCAAGGGAAAAAAAAGACAGTTCAGAAAGTCTTTGAAGTGGAAAAATAACAGAAATGCAGTTTTGTAGTGTAAGTTGGCATGGTGCAGTTTGAGATGGTGCAGATTTGAATGGTGGGAATGGGCATGGTGCAAGGTACAAAATTGACTTTTTATTTGGCACAAATTGTGGTTTAGTACAGCAGTTCTTCAACTTTTTGGTCATTAACTCACTAATAAACAAAATTGAAATAAAAATGTTTAAATGATACTTAAAATTCAATCTCTTACCAATCTCCTCTAATATTTTACAAGTTTTAGCAGGATATAAAATTCAATTAAAAAAAAAGAACTCTTGATGCTTTAATTTATTTAGTGACCCAAACTGGGTTTTGCGACCCATAGTTTGAGAACTGCTGGTTTAGTACACAAGAATATGCTGTACGATTCAAATTTTTATTGACATACAGTACAGACAGGAAATATCGCTTCGTATCTGCGCGTAACCTCTCGTAGCCT